TTATTTATTTATTTTATTTATTTATTATTTATTTTTCTTTTTGGTCTTGTTGAGACAGGGTCTCCTTGTAGCCCCAGCTTGCCTGAAACTCCCTATGGAGACCAGGCTGGCCTTGAACTCACAGAGATCTCTGCCTGCCTGCCTCCTGAGTGCTGGGACTAAAGGCCTGCGCCACCACACCTGCAAAAAAAATTTTTTTAATTTATATTTATTTATTGTGTGTGTGTGTGTGTGTGTGTATGTGTGCGTGCGCACAGTGACACATGTGTTGGGGTCGGAAGACAAATTACAGGAGTCAGTTCCCTCCTTTTACAATGTGGGTTCCTGGGATTAAACTTAGGCTGTCAGGCTTGGTGGCATTCTTACCCACTGAGTAAATAAGTAAATTAATTTGTAGTCATTACTGATACTATGCCTTTTATGTATATGGATTTTTCAGCTATAAATATTGCAATGCTTAGTTTCTGTGTTAGTAAATGTCTTTTATGGTTTCTTTATATTTCTGAACATTGCTTTAAAGAATATCTTTCTAATACAAATAGTATATGCATAAGTTTAACCCAGGTTAAAATTTCACAAAACCTTATCACATTATTGCAGCTATTAAAGGAAGATAAACTTTTGAGCCTTGATAAGGATCCAGAGAAAAATAATAAATATAATAATATAAGTTGTATGAACCTGTAATTTATGTACATTACAGCAGATGGATGTACTGGCTGAGTGTAGTAATAAGCTGCAGAAGAAGAGAGAAAAAAATATTTTACTAAAATTTATCAGTCTTGTCTGGAGATGGAGACAATTTTTTGTTAAGGGTGATGAGCATCTCCCATTCTTGACAATGGAATTATCTCCTAAAGTTGGCTTTATCACTCTCTTATAGGTGATTTACTGTTCTTTTGGTGGAACATCCAAAGGGCTGCACTTTAATAACTTAATAGTTGGACTTGTCCTCCTTACAAGAGGCAAAGATGAAGAGAAAGCAAAATGTAAGTACTTCTATTATCTCAAAATAATAATGGTATCAACATGTGCAGAATAATTAACCTCAAAATTTGAAAGGCAAAAGATTTAAGTGCTCTTTCTCCAGTGATGATACACAAGTGGCCAATAAGCATTTAAAAAGTGTTCAGTGGGGCTGGAGAGATGGCTCAACAGTTAAGAACACTGGTTGTTCTTACAGAAGACCCGGGTTCAAATCCTAGCACCCACATGGCAGCTAACAACTATCCGTAACTCCAGCTCCAGGGGATCAGATGGCCTCTTCTGTTCTCCTTGGGCATTGCACGACACGGGTGCACTTACCTATATGCAGACAATACATTTATACACATAAATAATAAATAAAATATTTTTTAAAAAGTGTTCAGTATATCTAGTCATCAGACAAAGTAAAACTGCTGTGTGGTACTACATCACATCCACTTAGGGTAGTTAAACTAAGATAGATAATAATGGTGTTGACAAGCATGTATAAAAATTTCAACCCCATTTTTTGCTGTTGGGACTGTAAAATAATAGTGTAGCTATTCTTATTTTTACTCATTTATTTTTGGTGTTAGGAATTAAATTCAGGGATAATAGTGTAGCTATTCTTATTTTTACTCATTTATTTTTGGTGTTAGGAATTAAATTCAGGGCCTAGCTAGATGGATAAACAAAACATAATATTTCTGTACAGTAGAATATTGCTTTATAAGAAAAGTGATTCATGCTGCAATTTAAATACTCCTTAAAAATACTTTGCTGAGAGCTGGGTGTGGTGGTGCAGGCCTTTAATCCCAGCACCTGGGAGGCAGAGGCAGGCAGATCTTTGTGAGTTCAAAGGCAGCCTGGTCTATATAGTGAGTTCTAGGACAGCTGGGGCTACAAGGTGACCGTTTCTCAAAAAGACAAAAACAAACAAACAAAAAAAAAAACTTGCTGAGTAATGTAAGTTATAGAATGTACAGTTTGCTTTCAAAATTCCTAGATTTTTATTCTTGACCAGTTAATGTTGAATTTTTCTCTCTGTTCTTCCTTTTCTAACCTGCCTGCTATGGTCTTGACTGTATCCCCCCAAATTCAGATGTTCAAATTTTAATCCCAAAACTTAAAGTCTTTGTGAGTTAATTCAGTCTTTAATGTCTTCATAAGTGGGATTAAGTGACCTTATGAAAGAAGCCTTAGACTTCTTTCCACCTCTGCCATGTAAGGTTACAATGGAAGAAAATCTATCAACCAGGAAGTAAGCCACCTAATTTTGTGGCTCCTTAATCTTGGATTTTCTAGCCTCCACAGCAGGTATCTGGCTTCTAATCTACCCAGTTAGCATTTTGTTATAGCAGCCCAAAACAGAAGAGATACTGCCTTTGAACTACTGATTCTAAATCTCTTAGAATCCCCTCTTCTGATCCTGAATCTGGATCAATTATCAATCTTGTTTTTAAAAGTTTTATTGAGGAGGAGTTTAGTGTGAAGTATGGGAGCAGCAACTATACAGCAGCAAAGGAAAGAAGCACAGATTGCTTCATGGTTGGAAACTATATTTGGGAGATCATCGCATTCCACAACATGAGGAAAACCCATGGATAACAGAAATCTTTTATTGCCCTCAAGAACACAGCAGGGTCTGGGATGCGGATGTCCACCTGGTAATAAGTGACTTGAAACAGAAAATAAGTGAGTATGAATAAGACAGCAAGCATCTTCAAGGCCTTTTTATGGAGAGTGTGAAGTTTTCTCTTGCCAGTCTGTCTGACATTGGTTCCTGGTGTCTGAATGCTTTGGTTGACAATGAAAAATGCCTCACAAGCAAGTTTTATCCCAGCAGTGAATGGTTTAACTTCTGATCATTTTTCTTGGTGCTAAATACAAAAGTGAAGTAATCAAGCTTGACTGGGAAACCAAGCAACAACAGCAAACACTGACTCCATCTTTAATATTGGAAAATTGTCTATAAGAAGATCTCAGGAAGGCAGAGCTGCATCACAGTCTTCGAAAAGAGCCAAAATTGACAGTCATCTTTAGACTGTGGACTTCCAAAAAACAAAATCAGAGTTGAGATTTGGAATCAAAGCTGCCAAGGAGCAACTTTGAGCTAGATGTATGGCTGCTTCGCTGTCTTATCTGAGTCATTGGTGGCACTATCAGAGAAACTGGAAGAGCTTAACAGCAAATTGTACCACTGAAGAAAAAAATGGAGTCCTATTTACATTCAGTTCTGAATCCATCTTATACTCTGGAGAGAATTAGATACCATTGAAGCTGAACTGTAGAAGAAAATAGACGTGATGGATCTGTGACAATCCTTTTCCCTAACAACGTTTTAAAAAAAGTTTTATTGCCGGGCATGGTGGCACACACCTTTAATCCCAGCACTTGGGAGGCAGAGACAGGCAGATCCCTGTGAGTTCAAGGCCAGCCTGGTCTATATAGTGAGTTCCAGGACACCTGGGGCTACAGGGAGACCCTTTCTCAAAAAGACCAAAAAAAAAAAAAAAAAAAAGTTTTATTGAAGTGTAATTGACGTACAAGAAAATGCTTATATAAACTATACATTATTGTTGTTGTTTGCAACATTGAAGATAGCTTACCACTGAGTTTTACTGCTAGGTGTTTTCCCTTTTAAATTTTCTATTTTTGTTAGGTGTTTTAAATTCTTTGTGGGTTTTTTTTTAATATTTATTTTATGCATATGAGTTTATTGCCTGCATGTATGTAAGTACACCCATGTGGTACAATGCCCACAGAGGTCAGTAGAGGGCATTGGATTCCCTGGAACTGGAGTTCTAGACAGTTGTTAGCTGCCATGTGGGTGTTATGCTTGCATGTAGGTAAGTGTACGCATATTGTACAATGCTCATGGAGGACAGAAGAGGCTATCGGATCCCTTGGAACTGGAGCTATAGACAGTTGTTAGCTGCCATGTGGGTGCTGAGATTCGAACCCAGGTCTTCTGTAAGAACAGTCAGTGTTCTTGACCACTGAGCCATCTCTCCAGCCCTGTTTGGTTGTTTTTTTTGTTTTGTTTTGTCTTTTTTGAGACAGGATCTCCTTGTAGCCCCAGCTGTCCTGGAACGCACTATGTAGACCAGGCTGGCCTCGGAACTCACAAAGATCCGCCTGCCTCTGCCTCCCAAGTGCTGGGATTAAAGGCGTGTGCCACCATTCTCGGCCTTGTTTTTTTTAAAGACAGAGTCTCTTTATAGCCTTGTCTGGCTTGGAACTTGCTATGTACCAGAGTATAGCCTTAAACTCAAGAGATAGCCACCTGACTCTGCCTTCTAAGTACTGGAATTAAAAGTGTTGTGACACCACACCAGGCTTTTTTCAATTTTTTGAGACAAGGTTTCATGCAGCCCAGACTGATCTTAAACTCTTTTTTTAAAAAATTTTTTTGGTCTTTTTGAGACAGGGTCTCCTTGTAGCCCCAGCTACAAGACCAGGCTGACCTTGAACTCACAGAGATCTGCCTGCCTCTGCCTCCCGAGTGCTGGGATTAAAGGCTTGTGCCACCACACCCAGCTCTTAAAATTTATTTTATATACTGGGTGTGCATGCCTTTAATCCGGAAGGCTGAGGCAGGCGGACCTCTGTGAGTTCAAGGCCAGCCTGGTCTATATAGTGAGTTCTAGGCCAACTGGGGCTACAAGGAGATCCTGTCTCAAAAAGACTCCCTCTCAAAAAATTATTTTTTGTGTATGAGTGTTTTGCCTGCGTGTATGTAAATGCATCCATGTTGTATAATGCCTGCAGAGGCCTGAAGAGGACATAGAATCCCTTGGAACTAGAATTACAGATGGTTGTTAGCTGCCATGTGCTAGGAACCAAACCCTGGTCCTCTGCAAAAGCAATCAATACTCAACTGCTGAGCCTTCTCTCCAGCCCCTGACCTTAAACTCTTGCCTTTCTGCCAACTACCCGGAATACAGGCATAGTCTACCTCATCTGACTCTTTTAATTTTTTTAAATTTAATTAATGAATTAATTTTTTTATGTGTATGAGTGTTTTACTTGCATGTAGGTAAGTATACCATGTGCATGCAATGCCCAGGAGGCCAGAATAGAGTGTTGGATCCCTGGAACTGGAGTTACAGATGTTTGTGAGTTTCCATGTGCATGTTGGGAACTGAACCAAACCCAAGTCCTCTGCAAAAATAGGCACGTGCACTGACTCTGCATTTTAAAGTTTTTATTTTTAGACAAGAATCTTGCGAAGTTACCAGACTGTCCTCACAGTAGCTGTCCTGAGTAGCTGGGATTACAGATGTATATTAACACATGTGGCTCATACATGGTATTTTTGTTTGTTTTGGGTTTCTTTTTTTTTTGTTTTTTAGGTTTTTGGTGTTGGTTTTTTTTTTTTTTTTTTTTTTTTTTTTTTTTGGTTTTTGGGTTTGGTTTTTTTTTTTTTTTTTTTTGATCTTTTTGTGACAGGGTTTCCCTGTAGCCGCAGCTGGCCTGGAACTGGCTTTGTAAACCAGGCTGGCCTTGAACTCACAGAGATCCACCTGCCCCTCTGCCCGTGCTGGGATTAAAGACATGTTGTCACCACGCCTGGCCATGGGTATTTTGTTTTTAATATTTATTTTATATGTATGAGTGTTTTGCCTGCATGAATATTAAGTTTACTGATGAAATGTCTGTGGAGGCCAGAAGAAGGTGTCAGATCCTCTGGACCTGGAATTATGGATGTTGTTAGCCACCATGTGGGTGCTGGGAAATGAACCTGGGTCCTCTGCAAGAGCAGCCAGTGCTCTTAACTGCTGAGCCTTCTCTTCAGCCCCCATATATATGTTTTGCCACGTGTATATACCCACTAAACTAAGGATACTGAACATATCCATTAACCCAATTTTATGTATTACTCTGATCCTATTTTTTTTCCAGATTAGCATCCCTACGTCAATGCACAGAGTAAATAAATAATAAAACAAAAAGTAAAATATAATCAAAAGTTTTGTATTGGAAGTGGGGGGTGAATTGAGAGCTTCATGTATACACTCTT